TTTCCTGTGTTTATTTCATAGTTTCTTTTTGAGGGAGGTGATCCTCCCCCTCTATCCTGCCCTGGTAAGGCCTCATCTGGAATACTGTGTCCAGTTCTGGGCTCCCCAGTACAAAAAAGACAGGGATCTCTTGGAAAGAGTCCAGCGGAGGGCCATGAAGATGGTGAAGGGCCTGGAGCATCTTTCCTATGAAGAAAGGCTGAGTGAACTGGGTCTGTTCAGCCTTGAGAAAAGAAGACTGAGAGGGGACCTGATCCAGGTCTATAAATATCTAAGGTGTGGGGGACAGAATGGCGAGGCCAGACTGTTTTCAGTGGTGAGTGGAGACAGGACAAGGGGAAACGGCTGGAAACTGCGGCATAGGAAGTTCTGCAAAAACATGCGCAAGAACTTCTTTACAGTGAGGTGACGGAGCACTGGAACAGGCTGCCCAGAGAGGTGGTGGAGTCTCCTTCTCTGGAGATGTTCAAGACCTGCCTGGATGCCTACCTGTGCGACCTGGTGTAGGGAACCTGCTTTGGCAGGGGGGTTGGACTCGATGATCTCTGGAGGCGCCTTCCAACCCCTACAATTCTGTGATTCTGTGATTCTTTCTCTTCTGACTGACTGGCATTTCCCTCTGGAAAAGAGTAGAGAAAGAAGGACAACTAATCAATACTTCTTTTTTTTCTTTCTGTTTTCTTTTTCAGCCAGTTTTTGGAAAAAATATCAAATAATTTCTAATGAACTGTTACTGCTAGCCAATTAAAGCTTCTTCCCCCCCGTAAATTGCTTCTAATACTGGGCAAAGGCATTCATTTGAGGAAAACAGTACAATTCAAGTCAATTAACAAGTAATGATATATCCTCATCATTAAAATTATTTTCAGTTTTAGTCAGCTCCGATCTAAATTAGATGATAGCAGATATAGAATGTCCATATAGAAAAGCAAGGGAAATCAAAGTATAAAGAGAGCCCTTCTTTTTGAGACACTGTTTACAAGCAGATGTTGAAAAGAAAGTACAGTGGAAAAACATAAATTAATTCAATGTATTTTAGATCAGATATGTATTCTTGTTTTTCTACTATCATGTATAAAAGTCAGAAATCAAATAGAAGAATTTACAAATGATAATCAAAACTCCTTGTAAAATTAAAGTTTTAAAATAAAATTTCATATTTTTACTGTGTTAATTACAATGTCAGCTTGTAGTTCAAAGATAAGAATTTACTGGAATTAAACTAGATCACCAACGTATTTAAGAGTTATAGGATGATACCTGATAATTTTTAAATAACTGTTTAATCATATACAATTACAGGGAAAGTGTATACCCTAATACACAAATGAAAGAATTACTAGTTATCTAGTACTTCTTAGTATTTCAAAAGTTTATTCCTTATGTGTTATATTCATAATGCCCTACATGTTATCGTGGTATTCTGAAGCATTTTCTACCTTTAGTGATGTGTCAAATTGGGTAGGTTATTGGTTTGTTTGTTCTTTTTTAAATAGTAGATCTTACCTGCTTTGAAATTATTAAAATTTAGTTTCCCACACATAAGCTTTATAAATAACATTTCCAGGCATTCAGAAATACTCAGCAATCAAATCTTTGTCTCTAATACAGTCATATTTCATGTTTGCTTCTTCCGGTATGGACAGTATTCTATTTAAAGTAATGTAGTCAACAGTCAGGATAGTTTGTAGCAATATTATGCAAGAACTCCAAAACTGGGCTGACAGCATTCCATTTTAGAACTCCCTGAGGATTTTTACTTCTAGAGAGAAGACGCCCTCTACAGTGCTTCAATGCGTGTTTCTCTTCTCTCCTTAGGGAGAAAAACATGTACTTAACCTTGCACAGATAATCACCAATGGATAGAAAGAGGAGGTGGCAGATCTATAGCCAGGTTCTCTACCCTAGCCTTTGAGAAGCACCATTCTTTGTTATGCATCACATTGCCAGATGTACTCCTCTGTTGCTGTAAAGCAGCAGATCAACCTAATGGTCTGTTTTTCTATGGGGACCCATTAATAATTTTGAGTGTTCTGTATTACAATTCAGGTACTGACATGCTTATGCGTTCTGATAATCGTTCAATAAACCCTCAGGGTGGTAGCGCGAGTTTCAGGCAAACATTAAAGGTTCTGCTTCAAATCTTCATGGAGAAGAATTTATAGCCAGTGGAATTTGTACTGTTTAGATGTCATAGCTTTCTATCAATTCTGCAGTACTGACACGGGTGGGTTTTTCTGTTACAACTTATTGAAGAATCACTAGGAAGTTTATGCAAAGTCAGCACCAGAATGCATCACAATATCCAAAATGAAAGAGGGAGTTAAGGAATGACAATGAGCCAGAGCAATGCTTGGCTCATTGTCATTCTAGAGTCATCATAAACTGTCTTTATTCTAGAGTCATCATAAACTGTCTGCTGATGTTTCATTGCTTCATGTGAAGGATGGTGTTTTCCTTCATATCCTAGAGAGAGTATTGAATTTCCTTTACTTTTAACAGCTTTTAAAATTTTCTCATAGTGTCAATACAGGCAACCCATATGGACTTACAGAAATATTTTTTTAGAAATATTGCTCAAAATATGAAGCGAGAGACAGAAGTTAAACTTGGCTATGAATTTAGGAAGTGATCAGAATATGAAGATGTAACTCATTTAACTAAATTTTATGATCTATTTGCTCAAGACTGATTTCATTTTCAAATGCTTTGAGACATTACTTTTTTTTTTTTTTTCAATGACTCTAGAAGAATTCACCTCTGTAAATTACTCTGTTATTTGGATGTGTTGCATGGAGTATTGAAAGACACATTTTCTACATTGCTTCCTTTTCCTTTCCACACTGTTGATTGTCTTTACTGCTTTATTTTCAGAGCTAAGCATTGGAGAATCCCAAAGTCTCTGTGTGTTTCTTCTAACTCTCTTTTTTATTTTTTTTTTTTTTTAAGGATGTACTTTTGGAAGTAATTAATCAATTAAATTAGTAGATAGTTTATTTCTTTAAAAGTGTTTCTGTGTCTCATTTGCAGAACAGACAGAATTGACCCCCAAAACTATGAAAAATTGTAATTTCTGGCCTTTTTATTTTTTGGAAGACATCTAGTTCTCTTTCCTTGTGTGAAGACAAAAAACAAAAGACTGGTTATGTCCAACACTTCCTGCTGGGTGGCTTTCTGTACATGGGCTGGCACTTTTAGTGATTAGAAGAGCCGCTGCTCCTACCTCTTCTCCCAAAAGTAGACTACTGCTAGGATGTAGACCAACAAATTTCTCAATTTTAATCCTGATGCAATTTATTAATCACTAAGGCATGTCTCACTACTATATTGTTGTTGCTTTCATTATATTAGCATTTCTGCCTCTTTAAAGTCTGTAAAACAGCATGTTTCAAAGTTCCCAACCAGGGATTGTTTTGAGCCCTGAAATACTCTGATTGGTTGGCCATGCTACAACATTTGAGAAAAAGAAGAAATTTTGAGACAAAGATAAAAGTAAATGGTAATAAAAAGAAGGAGAAAATGTAGATGAGATTAAGATAACCAGGTTAGAGCCTTAAAATGGGAAAATTATTGAGGGTATTTAGAAACTTAAAAGAGGTAAGAAAATAGTACTTTTTTTGAAAAGGAACGGAGCATTACATGAAAGTAGATTAAATACTGAGAATACAAGGAAAACGCAGATGGGGTCACTGAATTTGGCTTGATATCTTTTAATTGTGTGCTTTCCTACTACAAATCATTAGCTTTACTCATGAATAGGAAAATAAACTGATTTTCAGTTTCAGAGCATATGTAAATAATATAGAACTCATGACATTTTAGTATTAAATATCTAGAACAGTGAAATCAGAGGATATTGTTGGCTATGTATTGCATAGATAAAACCTAAAAAAAACTGTAGTAAAAATGTGATTTCCCAATAAATAAAAGTATTCAGCTTCTAGAGCCCTGTCTATAGGTAAAAAATACGTGATTTGTTATTGTAATTCAAGGAAAAGCAAAAAATTTGGTTGTCAGTTGGGAGTTGTAGTTTTCTTTCTTTTTGTAGTAGACCATAAAAAGATCATTAATGTTTCAATTTATTATCCAGAATTTAAATGTAATCGTTTTCTACCAAAAGTAAAAGTTTCTAAGCTTCTCAAGAAATTACTAAGAATTGTTTTGAATTGAAAGTGTTAAGTCATCTAAGGTTAGCAGTCACTATCACTCCTCTTTTAAGAGATTACTTTCAGTGTTAGAACCTTTAGTAAAATTATATTTTTCTGAGTTCCCTTCACTTCATGCTACTGCCTTGTAAACCGGTGGGCACAATTTAGTTAAATGGTTACGACAGGCACCGCATTAGCATTTAGGGCTTACACTTTTTACACATGTGCTGCAAAAATGCTTCAGAGCTTATTATTTACACTGGCTACTCTCTTGGTAGTCATGTTAATAAACACAGGGCAATTAATTTTATACAGATTGTACAGTAAATCAGCTGGCATCATAAGCTTCTTTTCTCTTTCCCTGATGCATTGCCTGGGCAACATCTTCCCAGAAGCTGTTGAAAATGCCTAATTCCCCTGTCTATGAATCAGTTTGTGGTTCAGCACTTCCAGGTTCTTGTTCTTAGACAGAAAAGCGCTGTTTTATTCCTCAATCAATAAATAAAACATTCTCCCTGGCTGCAGAATGGGGATTTGGGCAGTGCATGTCTCCTTGACACCACTATATTTTGCTAGCTCTGGGCACTGATCATGCTGACGTGCATTTCTTTAATTTTCTTATTTCCACTAAAGATTCTAATTAAATACTGGCGATGCATAAGAATCAGTGGGGACAGTGCTTCCCTGCACATTACATCTTTTGATGCAGAGGGCAGGGATTTTCTGACATGCAGCATTCAGCATGTGTGAGATGTCTGTCTCTAGTAAACTGTCATCTGTCATGTTTAACCAAACTTGTGCTAAAATAAGCTGGGGAAGGACTGCAAAGCTCAGAGAGAACTGCAAAGCCTGGGTCCGGAAGCAGTGGAGCACAGAGAGCTGACAGCAGCGTGCTCCCTCGTGCAAGTTCTCAGGGAACGTTTCTTCTTGGCACAGGCACAGCAAAGTCTGCACTTCTGGCACAGATGTTCCTCCAGCAGCTCTGAAGTAAGGCTGCCTGCTGGATACTATGCCATGCCCGGGGGTTAGTGGTCCTCCTCAGCCTCTCAAATTGACTCACCTCTGATGAAATCCAGTACTTAAAGAAACAAGAGATGTGGGGCTTTAGCTGATAATTCCATCTCAGCTAGGGTGGCTGGTGAACTGCCACAGCCCAGCGCAACGTCGCTTGGCACCGCTGCAACTTTCTTCAAAGCAAACTATTGGTAAAATCCTCTTGTTTCCCTCTGATCGCAAGCTGGTGTGACAACTGGAATGATTTGCCTGTTGGAAGAATGTTGACTCTAGAGTGGGAGTCGGAGGGACTGCAAACAGTGGGTATTGTTGTGATTATATTTGCATCTCTGAAGCTGCTTCATTTGCTGGGACTGATTGATTTTTCTGAAGGTAAAGTGGTCACTCGCAGTTTGTGCTGTTTCTAGGTGTGGTGTCTGATCTGCTAAAATAGACTTAGCATCAGGTATAAAAGCTGTGAAATGAAAATGCCTGGAAGGAGAAAATAGCAGTCAGACTAAAAATCTGATATTGTTCCTGCTGCTTTTACTTTGTTACTGTAAAACAGGAATAGATGCTAGTTAGATGCTAGCATCAGGTTGGAATTTTACAAAGAATTAAAAAGGATGAAAGCAGAGAACGTAGCATTTGTCTGTCAGTTGCTTTGAAAGCTGTTCACTGCTAGACAACTTGGTGCATTAAGTGAATCTTAGCTCAGTTCATGTTTATAACACTGTTTTTCTGATTTATGCATTTAGAGGTTAAATCCGACTCTGTCTGTGTTTTAGATCAGTTTCATAGCTAAATGCAAAACACCTTTATTACAGAATAAGTAATATAGGTATAGCTTTAGGAACAAATCTGTTTTATACCTTCCCAAAAAAGTAAAGGATATATGCCAATTGTGTATGTATTATACCCATATACATATAATTAAGATATATTTTTAAATTCCTGTTTGTTTGCTCAGATTCCTGTCTCCTCCCTACTGTATGGATCATATCATATCATCTACTCTCAAAGAGAACTTCACAATAATTTTAGTAGGAATTTTATCTGTATACAAATTGTGTGGTTCTTAATACCTGTTTTATTGAAATAGGCTGTTTCAGCTTAATTGTTGATGAGATTTTGTGAACTTTTGAACAAAATATCTTAGTGGGTACTGCTGTAGTAAACAGAAACCATTCACTCACTAAAACATTTGCTTGGAAAATACTTGCTTTTCTCAGTGTGTTAGTGCGTGTGAACAAAAACCAATCCTTTTTGCTGTGCAATTGCTTTCAAGTCAGAAAAAGGTAGCCAAGGAGAGCACTCCAGTTTTCTGAAACATTAACTTTTCATCATGGAATAGGATCTTTGATGGATGCAGATTCACATCATCACCTCATAAAATCACTCGGTGTGCTGATAAAATGTGAAATCTTTAACACAGCACTTTTATAGTTACTGAACTACTGAAATAAGTCATCCTTAAAAGCATATGTGGAGAGAATATATAACAGTTGCTATGTTTCTATATAATGCATTTGTTATGGAATTAAGGTATTTTTTGAATTCTAAACAGTGAGTAATTCTTTTCATGACACACACTTTGTATTTCTTCTTTCTCTTGGTTTGCAGCATTTTTAGCACCTTAAAATTCCTCTTATCTGTTAACTTTTACTTCATTGTGTGTGGTAACATAATTTATAGACAAATAATTATAATGCACTTTTTTTACAAGATATCCCTTTCTTAACTTTTCACAGAATTATATTATAATTAAGTCTGGACAATGCTTCATGTAATTTCAACTCTATCACCTTTCAAAACGAATAAACAAACAAACAACCCCCCCCCCCCCAGAAAACCATTAAACATTACAGTGATTTTAACATAAGTGTAAGTTGAACTGAATATCAACTGAAGTCTAACTTTCTCTGCTAATATGACGATTATCTGCATTTTTCCTTAATGATAATATAGTAATTTCATTCAAATGTACCTAGTATCATAAAACAAACCTCTAAATGTAAAAAGATTAAACATTACAAAGTATTGTGGGTATGTTAAGAATATCTTCAGTGTGAATAGCTCCATTGTCTCAGAGGATTTCTAGTTTCCCTAAGGCTGATTTAATCTATTTAATTCTTCCACGCTGAGGTGCTGCCATTACCATTAAACAAGAATTCTGCCCCAGATGATGAAGGATTGTCTGTAAGGTGATCAGAACAAGTGGCTTGTTGTTCCCACACTGAAAGGCCAGGCTTGCTGTTGATGTGCAAAGATGATTGAATGGTCAAGGTTAATCTTGAAACCAAAATCAGCATTGAGCCCTCCCCACCTACTCCATAGAGGCTGAAACAAATCCGTAGGTAGGCTTTCCGATATCTTAATGTACTTAATAACTCAGATATATTGACTTATGTCAAAAATATCACTGATAGAGAGTCCCAATGTTTGCCAGTAAATGGCACGCAACACACATAAATGACAAATCTTTAGTTGCTCCACAGATTTTACTGAGGCTCCATGTTAATGCTCCACAGATTTTACTGAGGCTGTGATGATGTTTTACGCAAGTTTCTACCAGCAGAAAAGGAAACTGCAGCAGCTTGTTTGTTGTTTGTCTTTATAGTTATTTACAGAGTAGTACAAACTAGTGTTTTTCCTATGTAAGCACTTTCAGATTTATATTCTAAAAAAAAAGATAAAATAGTACTATGCTCATGGAAAAAACTCTTCTTCAATTCAACGATGGGAAATATTTTACCTACTGTGATTCTTCCTCGGATCTCTCTCCTGCAAAAGTGTTTTCAGTTCTACTCAATGTGCTGTAGTGGACAGTCACCCTTTTTGCTTTACACAGGGAAAGGGGTTATGGTGAACACGAGCTTGACTGCCCAAACTCCTCCATGGGAGCATTAGATGAATCCAGGCAATCTAAACAGTTTTATTACAGTGTTCAGTGTTTGACAGGGCAAGGAATCTGACTTGATCCTATACTCTTATCTAGGGACCATGTTCTGCTACTTCATCCCTCTTCTACTTTCCAACAATCAGAAAAGGTTGAGCAGAATAAGAGGGAAGCTGATTTCACTGGTGCCAATGATCTCCTTCAGTTATAAGCACTGAATTGAATTAATACCACTTTTACTGTGAGAATGAAAATCTCCTTTTCCTCTCCTTCTGTTGCTTTGAAAGAGGTTTGATGCTGATCAATATCTTCCCTTCATCTTCCTTGCCTGAAGTTTTTGCTGCTGGGTGAATTTTTGCTTTGTTATTCAGCTGCAAGGGGTGCACAGGAAGGAGTTTGTAAGTGGAACAGAGGATCAGTGCACCAGATACAGAGGGAATGAATCTTCCAGAAGCTTGGAGGGGAGAGAACTGGAAAAATGAAGAATTCATTTTATTTATATTTGCGTGCAGAGAATGTTTGTCATGTGACAGCAATTTGGGAAACTATATATATATATATATATATAAATACTACTAGTAGTGTTATATGTGTCAGGGGGTTGTATAAACAAAGCCGTTATTGGGACAAACTTTGTACTTCCTCCTTCATTATACATTCATTATGTTTTTAAGTATAACATATCATATAGAAATGTTTTGTGATCATAACCAACCAGAGTTGTAATCTATTCCACACCCTACTATTCCCACTCTTTTGTTTCCACTGAGTTCTGTTTTCAGAGCTTGCTGTTATCCTTTAAGTGCTTATTCAGGTATATGTTTGATGTGTGAATGGCCAACAGCTTTATACATCTTTCAAGTGAATGAAGACTTGGTAGAACTACTTGAGACTCAGTTTCTCTTTTGGTGATGCAATAAGAAGGGCAATTACTTACAGTTATCAGGGAACATATTTGGCTGTAAAGTCAGTTTTGAGAGTAAACTGAGGATTGTTGCTGTGGTTAGAATCTGGAAATAGGAGAGGGAGTTACACACATTCTTTAAGTAAGGTTAGCTGTCTGTCTTTTAGATGGAAAGGTACAGAAAGACCAGTTTTTCTTTCTGTGTTGGATAGGCAGAAATCCAGAAGTCATGTCAGTGCATTTGAGCTGATTTGTTCTGTCACACTAACATGCTGAAATGTGTCCTCTTTTCTATCTGTTTTGGATGCAAATACCTAAAAGCACAGGGAGGATAAGCTTAGGTCTGTCTGCAACCATCTGTGTTAACATGTTGTAAGCTACCCTTACAGTTCAGCAAAAACAGGAATATTTAAAATATTGCCTCAAGTTCAGCATTACTCTCCCCTTGTAGTAAATGAATGATACAGGTAAAGATATACTGCTAACAGATGATTCTCCATTCGTTTGTGCTTTTCTGTGAAAAACGGCTCAAAAAAAGAGAGTTTTCGCGTGAAATAACTTTGTTTAGATGTGACTGATAAAAATTATCCAAATTTGAATCTTCCATGAACTGGTGGCTGTGCAAGGCAGGCTGAAATTTACTGAAACTGTTACGTTCTACTCAGGGTATAGAATCATAGAATCATAGAATCGCAAGGTTGGAAATGACCTCTAAGATCATCCAGTCCAAACGTCTTCTCATTACCACTGCTACCACAAGCTACAAAACCATATCTTGCAGCTCCTCATCCAGACGCCTCTTGAACTGTTGAAGTAGTTGAAGATGTTCTATTTTCTCTTCAGTTTGCCTCAAAAACTAGGTTTTCATGGGAAACATGATTGCATTTTGGGAAGTATCATCTAAACTGAGGCTGTCATGTTCTTACATAGTAAAAGAATAAACGTAACATAATTGTATTGAAACTGAGGGTTTTGTTTTGCTTTGCAGTTGTTTTACTAACTTTCGTAACCTGCACAGACCAATGGTAAGACGTACAAATACAGTTCGTTTGATAAATGAAGAGCAAAATCATCCTTTTCCTGTAAAAAAAAAAAAAACAGGGAAGTCATGCATCAGCCTATAGGTTTGTTTTTACCAAACTATGAGTGAAATGGGACAATTGAAATAAAAGTTTTAAGGGGGGCCTTTTCTTTTAGAGATTTTCTCATCAGCTACTTCCCAAGGACTTCTTTACTAAATCTGTGTGAGGATGACAATCAGAGCATGAGCTTCTCTAGTGAAATTAATATCCAAAAATTCTGATCAGTTCAAAGTTTGGATGCTGACCATATAAAAAGTGGGAGGGCTTACTTTTAGAGATGTCAAAAAATACATGGTGTAAACAGTCCGCTGTAAGTACAACTTATGTAACCTTCACATGTGTGTTTCTGGAAGGATTAGGTATTCCAATTTTTTTGATTGTAGATAAAGCATATCTGGTTAGTGTGCACTCACCCACTGTACTAGAAATACTGTCTGGCTCAGAATCACACAGTACATCTTCATCCTGTCTTAGGGAAGACACTTGTTGGCCTCCCTGCTTTGGAAGG